TGTTATGCTGGATATAAATTATGAATGGAAATACTTAAAGTAAAATTTTCATTCATATTAATAAAATTATTCATTACAATGGAAATATTGTGTCTCGACATACCGAGAACACAATTCGAAAATAAAAACAACAATGAAAAGCAAATAACTAAGCTGACTTCGTCGGATCATCAACTGTCTTGACCGCATCAGCATCATCATCACCCTTAGCTGCCTCTTCTACATCATCTTTGACAATTTGCTCGTACATAACACGGCTAATGATGTCGAAGACCCGATCTTCTTCAACTTTGGCAGCTTTCTCAAGCTCAGAAGGAGTCACTGGGACATGTTTATTCAAAATTGTATCATCTTTCCCGACTTCAGGCACCTCGGCCACAACTGATTGATCATCCTTTTGCGACAGCTCAGCCACTTTCCTTTCGAGGAAAGCCACGACCGACTTCCGAAGCTGCTCGGGAGTCATCTTCTCCAGTTCTTCCTGCAGGCTTACTTCAGTTAAGGTCTTAACGAAAACATTAGCAAGCTCCGACTTCTTTTCCTTCTCACCCTCAAGCACCATGTTGACGAAGGCACGACGCAGACGAGCCTCCCTTTCTTGATCTGATTCAGAGGTTTCAAAACCAGCTTCAGCTCTGATAGAAGCAAGAAGACCTTCGCAGAAGCTTTTCTCGTCCTCGTCGGCTTCAATATGAGTTGTCGCAATGGAAGGATTGAAATTATGACTTTTAATCTTGTGGAGGAGGAATTGACGGATTACCTCAATGTCGTACAAACCATCATCAAAGCGCTCAATCATCTAGCGCAAATTGAGACAAGTATTCATCTCGAATTCACGATCTTCGTCCTCATCTCGAATTCACGATCTTTGGTTAACCGATCGATAAAAATAAATTATTTTTTAAATTATTAAATAAAATAATATTAAATATTAAAATAGTATAAAAATAATTTATAATAATAAAGTATATAATAAAAATAATAAATAAACTATATTTTTAATTATTTAAGTTAATTTGATGTAAAATTATATATATTAAAACTAGTTTTCTAATACGCATAATTTATCTAGAAAGCTATAAATTGACGCACTTTATATAGAGGGATGTTACACTTTATAAAATAGTATGTTGCACTTTATAAAATAACGCGTTGCACTCTACATAATACTTTAATATCCATCATAATCTATATAAAAAGAAAAAAAGAAAGAAAAACCAAGCATGCTAACGTATCAAAATTTCAATATTGCACTTTATATTTCAATATGTTGCACTTTATATAACAGTACATTGCATCGTATGAAACAACACGTTGCACCTACAAAAATTACAATAATTATGCTAATCGACCTAATAATATTGTTGGTTAAAGGTCAGATTTAAACTACTTTTTTTTTTAAATAAATCAAATAATCGAACATTCTGAACTATATGAGAAAATATTACCAATTTTTTTAATCTTTTTTACGGAAAAAATAACAATATTTGTCTATCTATATTTTTTACGTATTGCTAGTGCACGTTAGGGTTATACGGATTGAACATAAGTGTCTAACATATTGCACCAAAATCAAACGAGATCCAACAAACATAAATTCGGTACGAAAATTTGTAATTTTTTTCTTTTTTTTTTTCTCAAAATGATAGATAATATTTATAAATCAAAATGCACAAATGTGCGAATACACAACAGCCAACGGCTGAATACACAGCAGCCAACAGATGAAAAAGTGAGAGGACAGGTCAGAAGACTGCCTAGAATCCCGGCTAGCAACGCTAGAATAAAAACACTCTCAACTAAACTAACCAACAACACAAACCACTAAAACAACTAAAAAGACCCCAACAGGGTAAGACCCGAGTGTCGGATCCCAACAGGATAATAAGTTGACACTCGGGCTCACAAAGGCCAACGGCCCAAACCAAAAACACACATCCTAATCAACACAAGCACAACGCAAAGAGAAAAATTAAGACATCCTAATCTATCAACAAACGAACAAAGCCCTTCCCCAGCAGGCTAGCCAATCCCAACACAAGGTGCCAGCGAACTAAAGACAATCATCCACAGCATAACCCGAGATCCGAAACGCAGCTCCCGCCACTGCCTAATGCCTAGCAAAGGACGAGTCCCAAACCCCGAGCCACTCCAAGAATGAAGCCGACCCCTAGCTAGAGGAACATCAATCAGACCCCCATACGCTAGTTGCCCGAGACCGACCAACATACGTACATCTCCACAGGAGCTCCAATTAATCATCTCAGCCCCGGTCGACTTGACTCAGATGAGCCGAGCCACCAGGGTCGCACCCAACCCCACCTACTCACCTCCAAGAAGCTACCCACCTCGAACCAGACACACAGCGGACGACCTCCCACCGATGACCGGGCAGAGCCGAAGCCGACCAACAGCCAACCAGCAGTGACTCCACACGGCGAACCAGAAGGCGGGACCACCGGCGTGCTAGGGACAGTGAGACCTACCGACGGCGGAGGAGAAGCGCCATCGGTGCCGAAGCACGGGAAAGCGAGGAGTAGGAGCAAGATGACGAGGCTATAGGCCATCCGCCGGTTCAGGGGCCGACTAATCGCCGGGGAAGGCACAAATTAGGGGTGAATTTGGCGGAAGACGATGGAGAAGATAGGGTTCGGAGGAATTGGGCGGAAAGGGGATCTTGAACTTTTTCGATTATTTGTCATTTTTTTATTCCAATAATCAAAATAAAAATAAACTATATTAAAATATTATTTTATATATTTTATATTTAGATAAACGAAATAATCGAACGGTCGAACTACATAATGACACTATAATTTTCTATTAATATATTTTTTATGTACATTTATTTTAGTGAACATATTAAATATTAAATGAAAAGTTAAAATATTAATTTATAATTTTATTAATTACAAATTCACCCATGAACTCGATTGTAATTTATTAAAATTGTTATAATTTGATTAATTACAAATTCAACCATGAACTCAATTGTAATTATTGTAATTAAGTCCCAACATGTTATCAAATTTACAAACCCTAGTCCTTTTCTCATTACTATACAATCTGGTCATATCTTTCCTGCAAGCCCCGCCGCCGCGGACGACAACCTCACCTTGCGGCCATCAGACCTTCACTGACCGACGTCCAACTCTGTACGCATCACCCTATCGCTGACAAGCTCACTCTGCCGCCGACGACCATCCCTGAAAAATTGCCCGAATGACCGAGTTCGCCGGCGAGCACCATACCCGCGGCCGCACGCCGCTGCACTCTGAAGTGGCCGCGCCGTCGTCGTCGGGGAACACCACACCCGCTGCAGCCACCGGTGGACCTTCTCCTGTCAACAACCATGACGTCTATGTCCGCACGCTGCTGCAACAGGCTTCCTCAGTGGTCACGACATCGCCGTCGTGAGCACCTCCTGCTCGGCGGTGTGTTTTATGGTGGACGGCAGGTGGCAGACGGATAGAGACGGCGGCGGGCGGCCTACGGGCGGCGACTGGCGGTGGCTGGCGGGATCTGGCGATGTCGGGGCAGGGCTGGGTGAGGTCGGAGACGACGGACGGTGGCTATGGGCTGGAGCGCCGCCATCTTTAGCTGCTGGGCTGGAGTGCCGCCGTGTGTGTGTGTGTGTGTGTGTGTGACCTGTGTGCGTTCGTGGAAAAGCATATCCGATGTGTGTGTGTGATGGGGGAGGGGAAGGGTTGATGGTGGGCCCATAATTAGTGTTTAATTAATTAATGGGTGTGTAATGCCTAGTTTACCCCTGTTGAGTGGTAAAAATCATACATTTGACCATGATTTTGATACTTATTTACCCTACTGCCACTCTTTTTTAACCATTATTTATTGAATTTTGACTTGATCATGACCATTGGTTTGGTGGATCCAATGGTGCAAAATCATTCTTATATATATATATATATATATAGAGAGAGAGAGAGAGAGAGAGAGAGAGAGAGAGAGTGGATCCAATGAGTCCACCCCTTAAAATGTGCACGTGAGACCATCATCTGAGCCGTCAGATCTACGCTCAGAATCAAACATATAAATATAACAAATCAAACAGAATTAAAACAGATCTCCATCTCCGCTCGCAACAAAATCAGAAAAATATCTAAACTTTCCTTCTCAATCACGATTCTGTGCGATTTTCTTCTCATACTTGATTTCAATTTCATCGACTAATTAGGTTTAAGTATCCTTTTTAATCTATTCGATAGACAAACTCAACTGCGGTTCATAAAGTTCATCAGATTTATCACACAAAATCGGCGAAAGCAACTTCAAATGGAGATCGAAGCAACTCCAGTTGTGACATTAATGGAAGAAGGTATAGTGACATTTTTTTTCCAAATTGATTCATCTAAATTTAAAATAATCAATGCTGATGAATTATACATTGATGAAATCGAGTTATTTAATAAGAGTCGAGCACATAATATTGAAAACTATGTTGTTCGTGCTTATCTGCAATTTTGATTTGTGGAAGAATCTCTGTTTTCTAACATAAATATTAAATATGCTGCGATTTAGAAATACATATGCATGTAGAAATAACTAAATGTGCAACTGTCTATTGATAAGCTTGCAAAAAAATTGTCTGTTGCACAGGTCTACTTATACATTAGATCGATATATATAAAACAAACTTTGAATGAAAGAATAACTAATTGTGCATGAAAGAGTAACTAAACTTGCATACGTATATCAATAAATATGCACGTAATAAATATGCATGAAATATTTTGGCAAGTATGCACGTTATAACTGCAATTTCATTCAATGAGTCATTCTGGATTATAACTATATATGCAACGCTTTAGTTATAAAAATGCATATGGGTTGAAAATAAGAATGCAATTTTATTGAACTAATGCAACAATTCTCAAACTTAATTTTCTTCTTATATTTTGTAGTAGGTACTACTCATGAGGGATCTCAGATTCAGTTGGTGATATCACCAAATTTAACAAAGTATTGGAAACCAATCGTCCAATCAGATATAAAGCCTAAAGTCGGTATGTTGTTTCCAAACCTTGATATTGCAATAGATTTTTACAGAAACTATGGGACAAACGGTGGATTTGATGTGCGGACTAGCACAAAAAAACGATTTAGAAGTGGCGTAGTAAGTAAACATTATATAGTTTGCAATAGACAAGGATTTAAGCCAGAAATTGAACAAAATACTTCAAAGAGTATGCCACAACTACCTCATGAGTCATGTGGAGTTCAACGACAACGTATGTCGAAAAGGGTTGGTTGCAAAGCTCGAGTAATATTTGAGTATGATGGAAATGGATACAAAATTGCAGAATTTGAAGAAAGACATTGCCACAGTCTAGTACTGGAGACACTTTATCTCAATGCAAATCGGCAATTGAATTACGGACACCGGAAATTTGTTCTTAATTGTGTGAAAGCAAATATTGGACCAGCTAAAACCCATAGGTTATATAAGGAAATGCTTGGGGGATATGATAATGTTGGTGCTCTCACAATTGATTTCAAGAACTATAAGAGAGAACTTATTGTTGGGTTCGCCTGTACCGTACGAGCTATACGCAGCGGAATTTAAAATTTTTCAAAACAAGTATTTAACCTTTAAATACTTTACTCGTACATACATATGGCGAATTAACAGATCTTCATCTTTAATAACATGTAATAATACATATTTTGATTTGTTGTAAGTAAATTCTAAATTTACCTTAGTCTTGAACTCCTTCAAAATTGTCGATGGATGAGGGAATCGATTCCCGGTTTGGTAACAGCAACACTTTGTGTTTACTCACTTAGGAATCCACTTGTCTTCTCTCTAAACGTATCCACCTTTTGAAATCCGGTTCCGATAACCTCTTTCTTCGCTAGTAGAAAAGTATCGGTTTTATTCAATAGAATGGAATATATTTATGAGGATATTTTACAAGAACTCTTTCTTGTCATTTGAAGATTTTGAAGAACACTTCTTCTTTACTCTCTTTTTCAACTCTTTGAAAAATTAAGATCAAATCTTAATATTAAATCTTATCTTAAGATTAAGTTTAAAACTCCTTTTAAACTTAACTTAAATATCAATATATTTATGATAAGATTTACAAGAACTCTTTCTTGTATTTTGAGAGATTATTCAACACTTGAATTTTCTTCTTAAGAACTTAGAACATTTCTTAGTTCTCTCTTTTTCAACTCTTTGAAAACTTATATGGAATTCATTAAGATCAAATCTCAAGATTGAATTTTAACATCAAACATGTCCATATTTATACTAAACATTTTAGTATAAAATAATAATATTGGGTAGAATATTTTCATAAAATATGAAAAGTCTTCAAGAATATTTTCATAAAATATTAAGTCTTGAACAAGACTATTCCCCACCCAATATTCAATTAATAAGAATAAGATTAATTATGTTAAGTAGTTAGCATCTCTTAACCACCATAATTAATTATTCTTATTAATATTTAATCTTTAATCATATTAAAGATATATAATAAAATAATAATTCTTGAAAGCATCTTTCAAGACTTTTATTATTTTAATCCTTTATTCCATTTCCTCATTTTAATAATCATATTATTATTTGGATTTGAAATTTAAAATCTAATTTTAAATTCCAAATATTAATTAGTAATTCCATTAATTACTAAATTAATATCCAAAATTCAATTAATCAATCCAATTGATTAATTTAATATATTCCTTTAATTGACATCTAATCAAATTAGATTTGTCAATTAATTCTAACTCTTTAGAATTACTATTTGAATTTCACCTTCATTCAAAAATTGGTGTGACCTTTTAGGTTCACAATTAATACTAGTAGTGGGTTTACAACTCTTTGTAATTTGAGTTAATCTTATTAACTCCTATTCATGAATTAACTCCTTAATTCAAGAACCCACATATCATGGGAACATCTAGCAAGTAGCATGAATCTAGTATTAAGTGAATAGCGAGTAAACCTATTTCAATTACAAGTCCATACATGTAAAATCCTTTCGACATCCAATTTTCCGATTAAATCTTGGGTATGATTTTAGTCGAAACCCAAATTGATTTAATAACTATGATTCTATTTCATGTTTAGTAATTCATGTATGAATCTCTATTCATCCCGCCTTGGCCATGGACTTTGAATTACTAACTATGAAACACATAGGAAATTCTCGTATCTTCATACGTGTCGAATCCTTTGTTGGCCACTAACAAACTTCCATACATATTAACATAATACCCAAAATATCCCTTTATACGATTGTGCTAGCAACCAAAAGGATAAATCAAAGTAGAACGTAATATGCACAAAGTTACCATTGTGCCTCAAGTCTAAGGATTAGTCATGTACTATTGTAACATGAAAATTCTTATTCGACAGATTATTAATAAAATAATTCTTCATTAAAAATTTTCATACGGTCATGTTCAGTGAACTTGTTCTCTAACAAGCACCCACATATATGTACTTGCGTCCCACGCTAATGTTGATGGAATGCAACATTCTTGTCAAACAAGCATACATACTATGTACAAGTCTTTTATGGATTATTCGATATCCCTTCTCGAAACATCCATCGACTTGGAACTTTATTTAAGATCACAGCTTTCAAGGTATGTTCCATGATCACCATCTCTATGCGCAACCATACCTTATAGCTATATGTGATCTAGGGATTTTATCTTAAGTGCAAATATAGGATAAATGCTTTCTCTTAAGATAAAGTAATGCCTTTTAATTAATATAATTCCAATAGATTGTATTTACAAGTAGAATACGTCCAATCTGATTGGAACGCCGGGTATCCTACTCTAACACTTATGACTTACATGTCTGGAGTAGATGCGCAACTCATCATTCAGAAATTCCATAACAAACAAGAAGTATGCCCAGACATGGCATTTGAGTATGCAGTTGATGGAAATAACCAATTAAGCAGGATATTTTGGGCAGACCCAATTTCAAGAAAAAACTACCTAATATTTGGAGATGTCGTCATTTGATGCAACTTACAACACTAACAGGTACAATTCAGTTGTACTCAGCTCTTATTGGTAACTATTGCATATAAAAACAACAAATATCTTATTGGTTTAGTTGTGAAAATACATTTCTGTTATATCTAAATTGTTATGATATATCTGATTGTTACTGTTATGCAACAGGTATGAAATAATTTAGCAATTTAATAGTTTGTGATAATACAAACTATGCATCACCTTGAAACTATGTATGCAACATTATAGAACTATTCTTGCATGATTGTAAAACTAAATAAGCATTTTGGTATCAAATAAATGATTTTATTTTGAGACAGTAGTCTGCATAACTGTCTGCCAAAGCTTGTAGCTATTTGAAACTAGTTTTGCAACATAAGACAACTAAGTATGCATGAAGACAGAATTAAAAATGCATATTTTTAAATTTTGCGAGACCTAATTAAATTTTGTTATTTTTTTATATACAAAATGGTGTTTGTCCCATTTAGTGGAATAGATAACCATAAAAAATGTGTAACATATGCAGCTGGGTTGATTGTTAAAGAGGATGAAGAATCATATATTTGGCTGTTGAAATTTCTTGAAGGCTATGG